CTCCAAATCCTTTTGGGGAAACTTCCTCTTCAGCCATGTTTATCAAAATTGTCCCTTCCCCTGTCTTTCTTAGACAAGTCTTATGCCAAACGTGTCGCTCTAATAAAAACAAACTAAAAAAAAAAAAACTAAAAAAAAAAAAAAAGATTATTTCAAGGTCATATTAAATATTATTTTCTCTCACTTTCCAGCTTAATATGCAATCAGAACCTTGCTTTGCCAAATGGAATAAAGACAGCAGAGAATTAGTTCTTTCAGCCTAATTAAAACTTAGCCCCTATTTAGGGGTAAATTGGGTCCCGTTAAGTAGATAAACGGGATCCAATTTAATGAGAACTATTATTCTGTGCTCGTTTAGTTCGCTAATTCGAGTTGAGATGTGACTTTATGTGAGAACTTTTTACTGTAGTAAAAAAGTTAGATGTGACTGTTTCTGATAACTTTTTACTGTAGCAAAACTCGAATTCTAAATTCGAATCGGTAAAATAAACGAGAGTGTGGTGTTTTATCTTCATGAGTATGAATATCATTTTTAAATTTTAATATTCATAACATGGTGGAGTTGCAATCTCACGGATATAGTTTCGCAGTAAATATACACTTACTTTTTATTAAGGTATAAAATTTGAACTCCACCTTCAAAATTTCTTTTGAAAAGATTACATAACATGTCCTTTTGAGATAATAAGTAACATGTAAGAGTTCATTCTAATTTATACGTCGGTGCACATCATTTGTGACACATTTGTGAAACTCTTCCATACTATGATGGTTTATGCATAAAAAAGAATAAGTGAATTCCAGAAGCAAAAAGAAATTGTTTAATATGAAAATGCCATTCGGGAGTTATGGGTCGGTTTGTCATATATATTGAAACAAATTTTTCTATTTAATGTACCACCAAAACACATTAAATGGAAAAAAGAAAAGGTGAGGGCTTTAATGAAATTGGCAATTGCTGGACTTTCAAGCAAACTGGCTGCTTAAGCTTAAATATGATCCAACGTAAAGATGATAAAAGGTCTCACATTAAAGGCAGAAATATTCAGTTCTTTTTACATGGATTTTTTTTTAATTTATAGTCTTTAGGAATTAACTCTTACATATTTTCTTTTGCTAATCATTAACTTATACATATTAGGTATGATGAATTAAAACCTTTAATTTGTTTGGTACGTTTCAGATAGAAAAATTGACTAGGCAGCCACAATAAGTCGATGAAAAAAAAAAAAAAAAAAAAAAAAAAAAAAAAACTGTTAGGATTGTCATTAATTAGGGACACCAAAAAAAAGAGATTTTAAATCTAAGAAATGTATTTGCTGTTGACCAAATCACCATCTAAATCCAACAAAACTGGATCCAATAGTTGAAGCTATATCTAAGAAACCAACAAAAGAATTCAAAAGAAATATATGGTACAATAATTTCTCTTCATTACTTTGGTTTAGTCGATAATTTTAATATTTAAGGGATAACTGAGAAGACATATATTATAATCTCATAATTGATTGTTGGTCGAACAAGACAGTTGTATTTTGTAGGTATTATAACCTGATCCCTTCACATAATTTATTAAAGCATAATTGCTTTAAATATAAAAATTGTAATTTTTTTTTGTTTATTATTTAAGGTCCGTTTGGCATTACTTTTAGAGGCTGTTTTTTTAACTTTTTTAAAGAAGCTACGTTAAGTTAGGGTGTTTAGTAAATCTTACTTTTATCCAATAGTTTTTAAAAATTGTTTTCAAACAGTCAAATTTGAGAAGCAGGTTAGGAGTTACTTTTACAAAGCTGCTATTCTAAATTTACTAAGATAACCTTAATAATATAACTTAATTCTCAATATACTTATTTTATTTTTATCATAACAAATTAAATATATATTTTTAAAATAGGTATTTAAAATTTGAAAATCTTTAATAAACATGCTATGCAAAAATTTCATTCAAATATTTTTAATAATTAACAAAATATTTAAAAATAACAATGATACATATTAGTAGATGAATAATTTTTCTCCTTCACTAAAAGTAATTTATTTTAAAGAACTATTTTAATTAGTAAAATTTAAAATATATGTTCTTAAGATTATGAATATTGACCATAAAAATAGAAATAAAACTAACTATGTATGATAAAATATGTCTACTTTCGTCATTATATATTTCAGTAGTAATTTTATACACAGTTTAACAAATACCTAAATTTCTACTTCTCGTACTCACAACAGTTTTGTAAAAATATTTATTAAACACCTATATGCTTCAGGCCACAACAACTTATTACTAACAGTACAACAATAGTAAAAAATTTTAACAGTACAATAATACCAAACTAGCCCTTTACATTATTGATTATTATTACGGAACTTGGTTTGACCTTTGATGTATGTCAATATTTGCACTATTTTATTATCTAAATTTACGTTTTATTTTATTTAATATTTATTCTTACCTTTGCTGAGGTTATTATCTCTTTCTTTCTTTTTTTTTTTTTTGGCTAGTGGAGATTATTATCTTACAACACTTCCTTTGTTATTTATTTTTTATTTTTAGCATTGTTCCATCCATGGTAAAAGATTTATGTGAAGCATGATTTTCACTTGATGTTGATTGCCAAATCCTAAATTAGATTTACCTTAAAAAGAAGAATAATAATAATAATAATAAAAGAATAAGATCACATTTGAGAGGAGCAAGAAAATTAATATAAGATACTGGTTAGATTTCTACCCCTTATTGTTTAGAATTAAAGAACTTTTGTTGATTTAGGTCTCGTTTCTTTCACCGATTCGAGTTTTTTTTCAGTAAAAAGCTCTCAGAAATAGTTATATCTAACTTTTTTACTAATGTAAAAAGTTCTTACATAAAATTACATCTCAACTCAAATTAAAAACTTAAATCAGCGAACTAAACAGATCCTTAAAATCTCGTTTCTTTGGTTTGCTTCTCTTTGTTAAAATGTTATCACTTTCTCTTTTGTTGTCTAGTAATTAATTAAATAAAACACAATAATCTTTCCTAACAACCCCAGAAAAGTGAAGGGATTTCGTTGATAAAGCATCACTTTCGATTTACGTGTATTTTTTATGAGAAAAAATATTATAGTGAATCATTAATCATGATTCAAATTATAATTTGAATTCTTCAACCAAACGTCCCATTAGGGATTAATGTTTCATACTTTGCACAGGTGTGGACTTGCAAATGTCAAGAGTTCCAAACATGCATAACTATGCAGCAGGTACTGCGGGTGCACAGGAGGACGGTTTATGTGATTTTGTAGAAAGGCGTTTTAGAAAAAAAAAAAAACCCAAATCAAAACCGTCCATTTGGAATAACGGGGGAGCGATTTACGAACGATTTGAGCCTAATCACGCTTTGTTAGAAGGGAAAATGAGACATATACTATTTAATTAAAATTTTTATATTTTAGTCTTGATTAATAACTTTTATAGTCAAATAAATATACCAGAAAAAAGGGTATTAATTAAAAATAAAAGATAAAAATTCAGACTCGTACATTTTTAAAAGTAAATTGTGTAATTTTCTCTTTTTTTTTTCCATCATGGAAAATGCTTAATGAATTTTGTTGGTATGTTTTTTTAAGATTAAAAAAAATCATCAACATCAAGCAATCTTTATATTTCATAATTCATATTTCATACTATTCAACATGAATCCCTGATCATGCATTCTATTTGTAAAAATCTATAATCTATAATATATATAGAAAGGGGAATGACTTTTGTACTTCAACCTTTCATTGAACTAATCCAATGGTTCAAACTTACTTTCTTTTAACTTAATTTAAATCTAATGGTTCAACTTTAATCCACGTGGCTTTTCCATTCTTTCACACCTCATACTTCACTTGGTATTCATGTTTTGTTTCCATCTCCCTCTTTTATCTTGTTGTTTTCTTAAACACTAAACAAAGTTTCAACACACATGCAATAAAGTAAAGTTCTAAAACATAGGTAATAAAATCGAAACAAGCAACGTAGTTAATAGTACTTAATAAAATCTTAATACATGCAATTAAAAATATAAAGGAATTTTTCTAATAAGACAAGAAAAAATGAATTATCGGTAGTTTTCTATTTTTCAATCGTTAAATATGTATCAGAAACTGCATGTTCTACATATTTTTTTAATCTGAAGTGATTTTGACTAGATTTAACAGTCAAAACTAACCCTACCAATAGACCAGCTTACAGTAGAAGGGCCAATTTGGCTTCTTTTTGTTTTTTTTTTTGTTTTTTTGATCAAGATGTATGTATTGTGTTTCTTTTAGACATTTAAATAAAACTAAGATCTTAGCTGGAAAAAGTTACAAATACTAGGGTTCTTGACTTCTTGTTCATCTCAAACTCTTCACAAGTATGATTGTTACTTACAACTAATATTCATGAGCTTCTAACTAAGAAATTGAAAAAGGCACCTTAATTTAATAGAGAATTTTGTGGTAGGGAAAAGGAAAAGGATGAAAATTTTCATTAAGTAGTGCATAGTTTTAAAACATCATAAATATTCATAAAATTCCATTAAATTTACATATCTTTTTAGTTTCATTATGCATAATGATTTTAACACGATCTAATAATAAAAAACTTCGCAAGATTAATAACATGTTTTTTTTTTTTTTTTGAAATATCTCCTAATTCTTCCTAATTTATTATGATATTTGAGATCTAACTCGAGTCTACCACTTTAACAAAAGCTAATATCATTTTGTAGTTGAAAACACTTGAAACAAATTTGTTAGTGCGTCTTTGACTTTATAAGATGCCCTTCTCTCGTTTTATTCGTTTAAATTTAGAGCTTGAGTTAAAAAGTGAATTCATGTGAGAGAAAATCTTGTATTAGAAAAAGTTGAATTCAAATTTTTGTGAGAGAAAATCTTGTATCAGAAAAAGTTGAATTTAAATTTTTATGAGAGAAAATACTATAACAAAAACTTGAATTGTGATTCGAACTAGCGAAATGAATGGGGGTTTAATTTGTTCAACAAAAAGAAGTTAGTTTTGATTTTTAAGCACTCAAAAGGTCAAAAATAGGCTAGTTCTAAGCAGTATTCAGTTATATATGTATACTTACACTTCATCAGAATTTTTAGAAGAAACATGATCACTTCCTTGATTGGAATCACCATCCAAGGGCTTCTTGGGAATTCTAACTTCTAAAATTGTGTCGTTTGTCAAATATGCCTCAACTTTTTTCCAATCTGCATCCTCTGGCAGCTCAAGCCTCCGAACATACCCATATTCCCACCAATTGCCACTTCTCCAGTCCTTGTTCTTGCCCTCTCTCATCTGCTGATTCCATTGCCCACAAATCTCCACAACCTTCTGATTCTCAGCATACACTTGAACATTATTTTTCCCAATCCCTGTTTCAAAAATTGGACGGTTATCTCCAATTCTCGAACGAAATTTGTTGCAGAGTGAACGATTATAAATTGTTCATACTAAATAAGGACGCGACTGAAATTTTATAAAGTTATGCGCGTACTAATTAGAATTTAAAATATAAATTGGGGCATGTGTCCCCACTTTACTTTATATAGAGGTCCATGCCTAATTATAGAGAGTGTATGAATTTTAGTGTCACATCATACGTACCAACATAAAAATTACTATCAGACGTTTGGTTCACGGATTCAGAACCATGATTTAGAACTATGACACGAATCCTCATACTAAACACAGACTAAGAAAAAAGTGGGCTCTATCTACTAATAAAAACTTGACTTTCAAAATATTCACTGTTAATAATATGTGTCTATACCTAAATTAAGAATTTTCCCATACTAGAAACCATTTTCTTTTATTTTGAAGGAGAATTCTAAAGAATACCCTAATTTTAAGACTTTGTTCAAATCATTATATTAATTCTATTAATATTGTATACTTTTGGATACGATTTTATTTGGATTTAACGGTTGGAAACATACGATAATATACCTATTGCCAAAAACTGTTATTTAATTTTGAATATGAAAAACCCATATAAATGCTCATGATGTATCTCCCATCCTTTACATTTTTTTCCTTTCATAAAGTCATCTGATCAACTGGAATCCATTAGAACATATGGTATTGGGGTCCCCTATAATTTCAAAACATTTAACTTGTGACTCAAGAAACAATGATTCTAGAGCCCTTTCTTCCTCAAGTCACTCAACATATATTATATAATAACCATAGTCTTTGTTCATAAACATTAATAACAGTCAATTTTTGATATATTATATATATTTAAGAAGTGTTTAGAAACTTACCTGGGAGTTCTCCTTTGAGCACATAATCTTGGTCAGTTTTGCACCAATCAACACTTGTTTGGCCAGAGCTCCGGAGATTACACAACAAGATTTCAGACTCAAAATCCCAAAGTGGGAAAGCATCAGAAGGGTCAAAAAACTTGCCAAACAACAAGGGGCTGAACAATGAACCATCACCAAACACTTTGTTCAGCGTTGGAATATTGCCTTGTGAAATGAACAGTTTGAACACATCATCCCGGAGAGAAAAACACCATTTCTTTGCATTTTGGTCCTCTTTTAGGACCTCAATCTGTCTCCTAATATTGCTCATTTCTAGACTTGGCCAAAAAAAAAAACCTTATTCAGAGCTTTGTGATTGTGATGGGGAGCGTTTTGTGGTGCTTTGGTTCTTATATATAGTGCAAGATAAGCCTTAGTGAAACAGAGAGAGAGAGAGAGAGAGAGAGAGAGAGAGAGAGATTGCTAATTGGTTAGAGGATGGAACAAATTCCTTTGGAATATTTGGAGGGCTGTAAAGCTAAAAGAAGAATATTTCTCTCTTTTTTATTTAAGCTACTAGAGATTGCTAATTGGTTAGAGAAAAATTGTGGCAGGCAGATATTAGACATGAAAATGACCTTTGGTGATGAATTGGTTTGTGTAAAGTAGTAAGCTGAGGATGTGGAAGAATGGAAAAAGATGACCACCTTGAAAAATTGATAGTTCTCTTGTGCAGAATCTAATATACGAACCATCCAATCCCATGTCTTTCTGTGCACACAAATCCATCATGAAAAAGATGTATGTATATATATGCATACATGTATATATATATATATATATATATATATATTTATTGGGCAATCTCATGTTTTTTCCTTATTGTACAAGTATGGAATAGATCTCCCTTTTCATTTGCCTTCAAGGTTGGGTGGTTTTCCATTGTTAATCATATGCTCAAGTGTGGGTGTGATCGTGAGAAATATATGAAGTTCAATTTTATAGGTTATGGAAGTTTTCCATTCGTTTCATGGGTCCGAATTTTGTGAGTTTGAATAGGTTTTTTTTTTTCGATATGACGTTTAGTAATAGTATAAGATTTAAACAGAGAATAAAGTTTAAATCAACGTTTAGTTATATTATTAGAACTTATTAGAACTATGACTTTTTAAAAAATGTGAGTGAAAATAGTTGGTAGAAACTTTTAAGTTGAGTTTATTGCTATTTTGGGAGGTGGGGGAGATAAAGTTGAGTTCAACCTTCAATTTTGTATTCAAATGAACCCTAAACCCAAATTCAAATTCAAAATGTTATGCAACTAAACAATGGTTTAAATTGACTTTTGAGTTTAGACCCACCCTCAATCCTCCAACTAAACAGGCACTGGTCCCGTTCATTTCACTTATTTGAGTTTAGAATTCGAGTTTTGCTACAGTAAAAAGCTCTCAGAAACAGTCACATCTAACTTTTTTACTACAGTAAAATGCTTTCACATAAAATCACATATCAACTCGAATCAACGAACTAAACGGGCCTAGACCGTAGGGTTTTATTAAATAATCGTCAATCAATCATCAGTAACAATGAGAATACAAATCAAGTGAACACACCAGTACATAGTAATGTAATTTAACTCATTTGTGTTTTTTTTTTAGTTATAAGAATAGTGAGTTTAGATAATGTTGGGGATGCATTGTATTCCCCTATGGCTTATAAATTTCTCTCGAAATGATTGTCTATATACTTGTCCATAATAATATGATTTGGTTGGTGTATTCGTGTCATGATTTGAATAATGATTCGTGATTTACTATAATATTTTTTCTCATAAAAAATACACGTAAATTAAGAATGATTCTGAATTCATAAACCAAACATTGCACTTATTATTCCATTAAATAATTATTGGTATTTTATGTCATATTTTATTTTATTACATGACTTTAGATTCTCGTCATGATTAGTATGTGCAACGATAGCAATTTAGGAGTTGTTGAGCTCATCAATTATGTAGGGTTTCGGTTTAATAATCTTAGGTTCCTTTCTGGGCATGATTATGTGAAAGGAATATTTTGAATTGGGTATCTCTTATCAAGTAGCATCTCCACTTCTTTTAACGTTTCCATTTCAATTCTTTTTCATGTGCCAATAATTTTGTACGGTAAAATTTGTGCGTTGCAATTAACACAACAATAATTAACATATCTACCAATAGCAATTAAAAGTCAAAATTTAATATATGCTATGTCTGGTGTCAAATCATTTAGCATAAAAACCAGTTGCATATTGGAGAGTGATTTTTCTACTCAAATACTAAAATCTGACCTCGGTATTGACATTGCATTGGTGGTTTAGTAGTATCTGCATGATAGATGCTTTTGAATTTCCATCCACGGAAATTCTGGAGTTACTTTGGAGAGTGGAATATCTTTTGTTTGTGTTTGAAAATAGGTTATCTTATCTTGAAAGATCAGAGGCCTTTTTATGGTAGATTAATTTACATTTTACACTTTAGAAGGTGAAGGATGATGCAAAGTTGATGGCTAACTAAGAAAATGCATACAAAAATCTTAGCCGTGTTTAGAATTGATCCCGTTTTTGTTTTTTATGTTTTTCGAGAAAAAAAAATGAAAACGTTTCTTAAACGGCGTTTGGCGCAATAAAGACAAAAAACGGAAATGAAAACGATTTTCTGGTTTAGTGTAAAATGAAAGAGAAATGAAAAGATTTTAGTCGTTTTTCATTTTTTGTTTTCATTTTGTCTTCTCTTGAGCAAAGAGAGAGAAAGGGAGACATTAATAGGTTTTTTTACACTGAAAATAATCTATTGATAAAACTACCAAACACATTTTTAAAAATGATTTTTGTCTGAGATTAAAAACGTTTTTATTTTCATTTTCATACAAAAAATAAAATTATTTTAGAACGAATTTCAAATGCACCCCTTGTTTTTTAAACTGGTTGGGAGTGGGAGAAAGAAAAGGGCCCAAAATTAGATCGAATAGTTGGACTGGAACATATGGGGTGCGTTTGGAATTGGTTCCAAAACGTTTTTATTTTCTGTACGAAAATGAAAATGAAAACGTTTTTAGTTTCATTTTTGAATTATTTCTAAAAATGCGTTTGGTAGTTTTATTTAGAGATTGATTTCAGTTTTTAAAAAAAACTGAAACTGCGTTTGGTGGTTTAATTTTTGAAAACATGTAATAATATATTAAATAATAATATATTAAATAAATATATTAAATAAACATATATAATACAAAAACGGTTTCAGAAAAGAGGGAAGAAAATGAAAAAGAAAAAAAAAAGTGAAATCCGTTTTTCAGAAAACAGAAAACGAAAACGAGAAAATGAAAACACATTTTTTTCGTTTTCTGATTTCCACAAAAAGATAAAAACGTTTTTGGTTTTGTTTTTTAAAAAAAATTGCACCAAACACGTTTTTAACACCCGTTTTCATTTTTTTGCTTTGAAAACCGTGAAAAACGAAAACGAAAACGCAAACAAACAGGCCCATGAGGATTGTCTAGAGGAACACAGGTCCATTTGCATTGCAATGAAATGGGTGGTGATTTTGGAAAATGGTTTTAATGTTGGGAAAATGAAGTAAATAGAGATTTATAGTAAATAATAGAAATAAATAGTAATTTTTAAAATTATTTAAAGTAAATAACAATTTACTGTATAAATATTCTTTTTATGATTAATAAAAATATTTTTTCCGCATAAATTTTGTTTTTTACGACTCATAAAAAAAATTGTCTTTGTAAATAAAAATCTTTTACCACATAAATTATTTGTTACCCGTCATATTTAAAAAATTTACACGTTAAACTATTATTTACTTCAAATAATTTTAAAAATTATTATTTATTTAATTTAGTTTCATAAACTGCTATTTACTACGGCTTCTGTTTAATGACTTATTGAAGATAATTATAGTAGCCGGCAAACATTCATACATTATATTGAAATTAAATTTTTTTAAAAAAATATTATTAAAATATAAAAAGTGATATACTAGTTTTTATATTTGTATCATATTTCTTAATATAAAATATTCAATGATACTAAATTTTATTATGTTTGTAATTTATCAAAAAGTTTGCTATATTTTAATTTTACTATTTAAATTTGGCTATATGTGTAAAGAGCCCTTAATTTTTCTCGTTTTCCGTAAGTCCATAGTTATCGATCAAAACCAATTGATAAATTTCATTATTACATAATAAATCTCATAGTTACCGATCAGAATAATTGATAAATATCAGTAAATATAATGAATAAATTAATATTTATTGACTAAATTTTATTATTTTGTTTATTATCATCAAATAACCTTTTATACTGAATAAGAACAAAAAAAATCACTTAATACATAAAGTATGCATGATTATCATTATATCTCACAAAAGTGCTGTTTCTATTTTGAAAAAAAAAAAAAAAACAAAAAGAAAAAAAAAAGTGCAGTTTCTATAATTGGTGAATGGGCAGATGGAAAAATTGCAGCGTCAAGATCTTAAACCCTACAGAACACACAGGTGGGTAACAGGTTAGGCCTTGGCCCAAAATCTAGTAGCATGGGCTGTTGTCTCAAAACCCGGGCCGTAGTTATTGAAGAACAACAAAGGGAATACCGAAATAGTAAAAAATATGCCAATATGAAAAGTTTAAGAAAGTATATAGATCAATTTTTAGTTATAGAAATTAATAAGTCATAATTTGTTAAGTTATAATTTAAAACCAAATAAGTCATAGACAAACTTGTCAAGTTATGGTTCATAGTCAGATAAGTTATGGACAAAAACTGTGATTTATGGACAATAACTTGTCAAGTTATGGTTCATAACCAGACAAGTTATGGACGAAAACAGTAATTTGGCCTATTTATTAACTTATGTAAACTATTGGCCTATTAATTTTAATTCATCTTAAATCTTGACCTATTTTCCTTTTTCTCCCGAAGGAATATGCAGAAAAGAAAACTTTTTATTCTGAACTTTTTCAGAAACAAGTCAAAACAAGTGTTAGTATTAAGTTATAATTGAAGTTTTTATAACGTAGACATTATTTTATGAATAAAAAGAATAAATACAAAAGAAAAATGATTTAGGAATTTAAAAAGAAAAAAAGTTGTTTACACTAATAAACTCTAAATATATTAATTTGTTTTATTTTGATGGTCGATATTCACTTTGTGATATCTGACTACTACGAGATTTATAAAATATAAAGTTTTGATCCATCATTTAATAAATTTACTATTTTTAAACAAAATATAGCATTAGTATAGCATGTTAGGGCGGTATAAAATATTAAAAGAAACAGAGATCTAAGACTATAATCTAAAAAATAATAATAGACTGGG